AGATTACAAAAAATATTAATTAAGATAATATAGATAATATAAATAATAAAAATAGAAATTTTCTTAAAAACATAAAAAATGTCACAAAATATGCCGCGTATTTATTTCTCTCTCTATTAAAAATAATAATTCAATCGTAAATATAAATCAATTTTGTTGAGTAACATCCGTATAATGGCACTACGTTTCCAAGAAGATAAATTTACTTTAATTTACATTAAAGAAATTTCATTAATAAAATATCTTTATTTACGCAATGCAATCGAAATGAATACTTGTTTTTTTTTATCTTTTGTTGATTGATTGTGAATTCACCATCTGATGTTGTTGAAATATTAAGGACAAAAATAAATACCAGAATTTAAAACTATCTATATACAAATTGGGTACCACGGAATATTATTCAGGATTTCTGAATAATTACTTTTTAGAAACTTGTCTCACTCAAACTTACCCAAACATATTTATTCTTGAAAACATATCATCAAAATCATATATTATTTTTTGCAATTCCAAATTTAGAAATGATTGTCCTTCAAGTAATTGTCGGGTATCCACATTTGTTTGACTATAAAAATCCGTAAAATTGTTTAATTGTGAGTTAACTGATTTTAGATTAAGGATTATGCTTGTTAGCCGAAATAAATATCATACAATCATTTAAATTTGTAATTTGCTATACTTCCGTTACGGAAATTTTTAAAAATTGTAGAACTAGAAAATCTTAAATATTCTGTAATTAATTAGTTTATTAATTTGAGATAGTTAATAAATATTTATGTTTTTTTAAAACATAATAAAAATTATTCTTGTATATAAAAGTTGATGCTAAATTTATAGATATGTTTATGATTTAATGTATAAAAAATGTGAATAATTACTATTATTAGAAGCTCTCTGTCTCACTTACGTAATCTCTTCTATAATTTTCTTTACATTTAAACTTAGGTTTATTATTTCTATTAACAATTTCATTACTTCATCTTTTAGAATCATCGTTTTATATTTCGATATAGTGTAATCCAGTAATTCTTTGGTATCATGCCAACTGTAAGATAAATTTAATAGTCAATTAACTTTTGGTTTATAAGTATTTTATAGATATGTGCACATAATAAAAATTGTACATTTACGATTTTCATTGTGTTCGCACAATACTAATATCAAATACTTTATGTTTCAATACAATTTTAATAAAAAAGATTGTAAAAAAATTTAATTAAAATAATATAGGTAATACAAATAATAAATAAAATTTCTCTTAAAAACGTAAAAAATATCAAAAGTATGCCATGTATTTATTTCTCTCTTTAACGAAAATAATAATTCAATCATGAATATAAATAAATTTTGTTTAATTATTGATAAAATTTACTTCAATTAACATTAAAGAAAATCTAATATTTAATTTCTTTATACATATAGTATCAACAAAAGGAATAATATATTATGATATACAGTGGTACTTCTTCCTCATCTTCCATC